CAAAACTCTGGGCTCAATTACAGCAAAAAGGATTTAGGTAAAACAAAAGGGGAAAAAACCCCAACTTTCTGGCAATGTTTGTGAATTCCTAGGTTATGCTACCCTTGGAAATAAGACCAATGAACAGTCATCACAGGGTGAGTTTTGAATAATGGATCCTTCCAGTTTCATGGTGCTAGTAAAATAATGAGGCATCCTGTCAGGACTGGCAGAATGCTTGCTATTTCTTTGAGGTGGTAATCCTGCTGAAACTCCTTTACTAGAGGGAAGGTTCTAGAGGGCACATGACATGGTAGATAAATAACAACCTTTTGGATAGGTGAACACTGGTACCAAATAATCATTTCCTGGCCAGATTAGCCTTATAGAAATAAAGCAGAAAATATGAGTGGGATATCAGAGACCATTGCTCTAGATTCTTCTTCCTGACTGGTTGATCGTGTTCCTTTATCAAGGAACTTTTGAGCCTCTGTTCTGGGCCAGGTGTCAGGCACCAGAGATAAAGCAGTGATTCTGGATCAGGGATGACTTTGAGCCCAACCCTTGAGGGACAGTTGGCAATGTCTGGAGAAATTTTTATCATCTCATAGAAAGAAGCCAAGGATGCCTCTGAACATCCTGCAATGCATGAGATAGCCCTCCACGACAGAGAACCATCCAGCCCCAGATGTCAATAGTGCTAAGACTGAGAGACTTTGAGAGAACTAAGACTCAATCCCTGCTCTCAAAGACTTTTCTGTTCAGTGTGGTATTTCTTAATGTTGCTTGAAATATGTCCAAGTAAAAAATGGCTGCACTGAAGAAAATCAAGTTCTTTATTTGAAATGATCACAAATAAAACTATTTAGGCCCCACTATCATTCAGGACCAACAGCATGGTGCTCCTGATTTCATAAGGCCTCATTACACTCTTATTAATTGCCTGGTTTGTCCAGATCTTAGATTGCTATTATTTAGCAGAGCAGGGTGACCACTATCATTTTTATCAACAGAGTGAGCTTACAGTTGTATATGAGTTCATATACAAAAGACAGTAGGTGGAAAAATAACCTACAAGTTGAATTAACATAGTAAACCTCAGCTGTTCATCTCCTTTAGCTTGGATTTGTTCAAAACTTCAGCAGAGCATTGCTAAAATCTCACTTGGCTTAGAAATTCCCTGGTCTAATAAATAGTTGCAGGTAAATTATTTGCAATATTTGGAACTAATTCTTCCAAACACTTACATGTACCATTTAGTATCAAATCAACCCAAGTTAATTAAAATAAATGATCGATTTATTAAAATAGCACCCAAAGAGCCTTGAATACATCCTGTTTTGTCTCACTGATGTGGGAGGTCAGTTATTTGACCTGGTGGAAGTGAGCTGTTGTGGAAAACTGCCTTTTTTATTTAATGAGGAGTAAAGTCTGCCAGAATGACCTCTAACACTTTTTTCCCTGCTGTTAAAGTTTTCAGCTTAGCAGCTTTTAAGTGTGGCTTTTAGACGCTTGGCATCTCCACCCTTCAGCTTGAAATCTCCCCTTTCCCATTGTGCCAAGTGCTCCGGGCGTTCCAGTTAACTGGAATGGTCTTTAAAATAATTGAAAAAAAAATCTGAAATTCAGACTCTTCACTAATTCATACTGGTTTTTTTTTCCCCCAAAGGATCCAAATTCCTGTGGGTTCGTTGGGTTTCAGACCCCATATTTATAGATATTGCAAAGTACATATTTTTTGAGTTGTTGACGCTTATAAACTGAAAGCAGAAAACTCTTCCGAACCTCAATTTCCTCCCTGTAAAATGGAATCAAAGTCCTTTCCTGCTCTGTTTTATTAATTAGACTCTTTATGAAGATAATGAGTCTATTGACTTGTCACCTAGAATGTTCTCTCTCTCCTTCCCTCCCTTTCCTTCCTTCTTCCTTCCTTTTCTCTTTTTGTTTGGAGTTTTTATCATTATAGGCAATTTTTTTTATGCTTAAAAGTGACAGTTCTGTCTTTGAATCTAAACAAATGTACAATTTTCTGGTCATTAGGAGTCCCTTAGTTAGGATAGTAAGTGTATCCCCTTTAAATATTTCCTTTTCCCCCTTTCAATCAATTAGTTTGTATTCTACCAGAGGATCACTATCCCCAATTGTGGATATTCCTGACTTGTTCCAATTTTTTTTATCATCTGCATTGAAGCCAGCTGAAGCCATCACGAGAAGTATTAAGCAAACATCCACATTCCTGGGGACTAATCATGTTTCTTTAAAAAAAAAAAAGCCTGAAAGGTTGATCTTTAGGCTAGTTAACCCAAAATATCTGTAGAGGAGATGGGAAATTAAGTCATGAATAAAAGCCTGATGGAAATTCTGCATGATCCAAACCTAAAAGTAGGTTATCTGGAGACAGTTGTGAGGGGTGGGGAGATAACAGCTGGCCGAAATCAAGAAGAAAAATGATGAGGCTTCAGAGTTTGCCACTTGGTGAGCCCCATGGGAATCATATTCCTCAAGCTAAGAACCACAGTTCCAGGCTGCCAGCTCTAAAGGTTCATGTGAAAGGCTGCAAACTTCTGACTGGGAAAGGCATGTGCAATTTAACCATCCTGAACCCCAGGCTTACTCTGGCCATAGGAATGGCCCTTTCCCTCCCCCCATTCCTTGGCCTGCATATAGCTAAGCACATTGGATCTCAGTTTCCATCAAAGGCCAGGAAAGAGGGCAGGCAGAGGGTGTGGCCACCTTAGTAGCACAACACTGGCCCCAACACTAGTGAGGCCTTCACAGATATCAAGGGCAAGTCTTCTGAAGCTATAGCCATACTCACAATAGCCTCTTTCCCCAAAGCTCCCACTGATGAATGGCAAGGACCACAAATAGGCATGGCTGGTATTGGTGGGGAGGCCTATTCAGGAATCCATCAGGGGCCTGGGGTTTGGCCTGCACTGCCTCCACACCCAGATGGGCTGTGGGGCCAACCTTTCTCACTCTACCAAAGCTGCCATCTGAAGACAGAAGGGCATCCCCAATACAACAAAGAGAAATTTGTGGTTTGAGGTTTATAAGGTAATTACAGGCTACAATTTTCTGCCTTTCCACTTGTATGTCACTCAGCTTTAAGCACTCACTTCTAAAGGGTAAATTGCAAGTTCTTTCCTCTAAATCCAGATCAGTCCTGACACATTGTGAAGACACAGGCCCTATTGGCTGGGACAGAAAGGCTGTCCAGCGCTGTGTGGCAACAGAAACAACTGTAAGCATGGGGAGAAGAGACAGCAGACGAATGGGGGACGCTAGTTGCTAGCACATTTGTGTTTGATTTGAAACTAGAATGCATGTGCCATGCTCAGGAATCATGGCCAGAAACCCACATGGAGAATAAAAACAAGAAAAAAAAAAATGACTGTACTGTGTAGAAGCTGAAAGGCTGGAGTCCAGCTGATGTTGGAGACTAGTTAGCCTGATGTGAAATAGCTATTTGGTTATACTTTGAAAAAGAAAATGGTCACACTTTGAGAAAGAAATTTTAACAACACAGAGAAAAGAGCAGGAAAAAGAAAATCCACTCTGAGTGTCTGATACAGGACCAGCTAAAACTGTAACCCTATACACACAGGGTAATAAAAGAACAGTCTCGCGACTGCTTTTCCTCCTGTTCATGTTCACAGTAACAGCTGGATACATACTAATTGCAAGAAGTGAAAGAAAGAGCTGGAAGTCGAAAAGCAGGCTAATCAGTCTCTCGCCAGCACAGTTTCAGACACAAGTGCGATGTGCCACCTAGCAGGTCTATTTTAAACGCACGCTCACAGTTCCTCATTTGTGTGGGTGGCTGTATGTTGTCAGAAGAGCAACACGTTATTCTCTCCTTCCAAGTGCATTGCTTCCATCCATCAAGCAATGGCTTAACCAGGGCTTCTCAGTCTCAGCACTATTGACATTTCAGGTCAGATGACTTCTTTGTTTGGGGGGGTCTGTCTTGTGCGTTATAGGACATTTAGCAGCATCCCTCGTCTCTATCCACTACAAGCCAGTAGAATCACCTCCCCCAGATATGACAACCAAAAGTGTCTCCAGGCATTGCCAGATGTCCTCTGTGGGGCCCAATCACCCTCCTTTGAGAACCACTAGACTAAAGGATGACTTTCTCTTCCTTCCCCCATCTCAAAGATCTCTATCCAAGGCTGAGAAAAATTAGGAGATATCTAAATCTATCAGCAAGTAACTCTTGTTCTGAGTGGCCTGCAGTAATATTTTAGACTTGCAAGATTTTCAATCATTGAAAACAATGCTCTTATTTCCTTTGGAAAGAAGACCTTTTCCAGCTAAACTCTGGGGTGGGGGAGGGAAACAAGTCAATTTCTTTTAGAGACATTTGTTTTAGTATGTAGAAAGTCCAGGTGTAGAACTATGTGAATTGGAAGGAGCCTGGAGTACTGGAAACTCACCTCCCTGCTCCCTTTTTTTGCCACATTTTTACAGGGAAAAAAACCCCACCAAGGCCTAGAGGGGGAAATGACTCACTCAAGGCCATACAAATTCCTAGTCCTTCTTTTATGGGGGCACAGGGTAATATTTCCCAATATGCCTGAAGAGCTTAGGTCTCTAAACACAGATAACTTACAGCTCTTTACAAGCAAGAGTTTTGGCCTAATCTTGCCAGCTAAGGAATGTAAATTTTATAAATGACAGAATACTGCAACCAATTAGTGCAAACAAACATTTATTGTGAAATATTCATCCTACCCTTTATTAGGTATTACATCATCAAAGCACTTTGTGGCAATGAAAATAGCTTTTTTTTTTTTACCCCTCTGATTCACCCAATATTCCATTAAAGCTGCAAAAAATGTGCAATCTGCTTGAAAAATAGGTTGCTCTTATTTACTCATTTGTGAAAAGTCAAAAATTAAAAAAGAAAATGATACTAGCTTACAGGGCCTCTAGAGCCAATTTACCTTTCCACGTCCCACCTACTCCCCAAAATAATTAACAAAGATAATTTGTTTTAAATGCCTTTTTAAAAAACCAATGCACCTTTCCCCATGTTATAATCATAAAAATTTTAAAAAGCCATTATTTACTTTCTTGGAAAAAAGGTGGCCAGCCGTTGTTTTTTGATTGGGAGCATGTGTATTTCCTGGGAGTTCACTTTCTTTAACTTTATGCTCCGGTTTTTGACGGGTTTCCTAAGGGGCTCCGCGTTTCCCAGGGACTCTTCTCCTGGGCTGTTGATGTCATAGCCCTGAAGCACAGAGTCTTCTCTTTTGAAGGAGAAGTTTTTGGTGGACACCCCTGAGAGGCCTTTGATCTTGCCACAGAAGATGGTAGGTACAGCGTCTTCAACTGAGACGATGACCTTGGCCGCCTGGGACTCACTTACAATCTCAATGTTATTTTCAGCCTTGACCTCACCACTAGGGTGGCTAGGCTGGCTGACCATCTCAGCAGAATTGCTGCTGCCAATGTGGCTATCCATCATGGCTGAGGCCTCGTGAGATGTGGCAGGGGCAAAGGGCATTTCCATGCTACTGGGAAGTTTCTCCATCACAGTATGGCCTGGGCTGTCTACAGACCCACTGCTGTCATACGGTGTCTCAGGGGCAGGCTCAGACTTCCGGTGGGCTGCCAGCGATAGGTCTAGGGCCGCATCCTCCTGGAAGAGTGGGGGACTGACTTCGCCAGGCTTGAGCCAGGGCACTGACTTCATGGAGAGATCCAGGGCCTCGTTCTCACTCCCCATCTTGATGACCGTGTGGCGGCTAAGCTGGAAGTACTCCTTCGGCTGGAGGATGTCTAAGGGCTTCAGTTCATCCTTTTCCAGAGAGGTCTGAGTGCCTTTAAAGGAGTGCAGGCTGAAAGAAGATGGTGGCTTGGGGAAACTGGGGCTGAACTTGGATTCAGAACTCTGAGGCACTGGGATGGGAATGGGAATGGGGACTGGCACAGGCAAGGGGACAATCACAGGGTAGGGAACCAAGAGGGTGGCTGGTGGGACCAAGGGAGACAAGGGGGAGTTAAAGGGCTGCGGGGGCACTGGAGCATAGCCTGGAGGAGGCTGACAGGGTGGAGGCCCGAGAGAACCCTGGGAGGGGAACAAATTCTGAAGCACAGCTTCGAATGGCAATGTGGGCTCCTGTGGCTGGCTGGGGATCCTCAGGTCCAGGAGTTGGGGCTGGGCCTCGGGGTCCTCAGCCCCCTGGAAGAGGTTATTGTGGATGGCATTGGAGGAACATGGGGCCTCCTGTGGCAGGACCAGAGGGGAGTTGAGGTGCTGGAAGACGTGCTGCTCCAGCACCACAGGCAGCTGCACAGGGCCCTGTGTGGTCATGACATAGGTGGCATTGCCATTGGGGTTGAGCTCCGGTGCAGAGCTTCCCTCCACCTGCATGTGAATGGGCATCACCACTGGGCTTTCCCCAAGGCACAGGGGCTGCAACACAGTGGCTGCCACCTTCAGAGCCATGCCACTCTGGGACTCAGCAGGTGGGTTCAGAATGGATGGGGCAGGCACAGTCACAAGGGCTTTCTTGACCAGGTCAGTAGAATTGATGTTCCAGGCCTCAGTGGTGATCAGTTGGGCCATACCATTCTCCAGTCTGTTATTGGCCAAGGTGGGAGGGGAGTCGGTCATGTCCATGGAGAGGTTCTGGGACTGCAGGTCGTCCATCACTGGGCTCTGATGCCACTTGGCCTGCAACACACAGAACACATATATGAATCTTCCATGAGACTATTTACACTTGCCTTAAGAGTTCTCTCCACATCTTTCCATATTTTAGTTAACTGGGGAGAACAGCCCAGCTTCCTAATATACATGAACCCACCCATATGATCAGCTGGGCTAGAAGGACCCAAATTCAACAGACAATTAAACTATAAACAGATATGATGTAATCACTAAATAGCCACATGATGTTAAACAGGGTAGTCTTAAGCCTAATACTCAGCTTATACGTTTAGCCTTCACCAAAAACAAAGTTTCATTCCACATTGCTATGTCAGGCAGTTAAGATATTCAGAGATTTGACTTGTTCAAACTCAAACAAGCAGCAAAGACTTACTTTCCCTTAAGGAAAAATAAAACCTTGTCACATTTGAATATTCTATGCATATGGAAGGAGGCATTTAAAAACCTAAAAATAATGATGGAATTATTTGAAAATTGTGGAAATTCTCAGAAAGCATTTTAAAAAGCCTTTGTAGCAATAATTCTTCCTGAAGAGGTCTGAGGAGTAGAAGACACAAGATTTGTTACAGTGTTCTCACAGCTGCGCTCCAACAACAAGAACATCTACTCCCCGGAGCAAGGTGAAGATGGCTTGCATGAATGGTCATCAAGCCCAGTGTCACTTTCCCAACTGCCTCATCTGTCTGACCTATGGCCTCTCCTAACATCTAACTGCCAAGAGGAGGGGATGTGGATGAGTCTAGGGGTGGGGAAATGGAGAACTTGTTGGCAACAAAAATCTCCAAAGGTGAAAAATGTTTTCTCAATGTCCAAGACACCTCCCAAAGACCTTGGCCACCTCCTGAGAGGCCCAAGAAGCGAAGCAGGGCTGCAGCTGTAATATGGCTCTCCATGGAAACGCGTCCATATTTAGCCTCGTTGCCATGGAGAAGGCAGGCACCATGTCTAACTCAGGGATCTGTGCAGCCCTGGAGTCTGGTTGGGCTCAATAATAATTCAATAATCCTCAGTTTCACTGGGAAGGCCTGGGGCAACACAGATCCTTGACCTCACCTATCTCAGCTGCGTACACTTTAGTCCTTGGTCATCTTGTCCTTCTCTCCTCACCTCCAAATAGTCAACACAACCTCACAAACAAGAAAGAGAGGTGACCTAGCACACCTTAGGATTACAAATAAACAAACGATCTCTCACTTCAGGAAGGCAACTATAACAAATGAACAAATCCATAATATTGCCAGGCAATCAAAACACATCAAATGCACACAACAAGGAGTTTCTCTGAGGCCGGGGGAGACGAGGGCCAGGGAGGGATGCTGTGTTGACAACTTTGTGCAGATAGACTGGTGGGCCCCACCCTTGGCAGGGCACACTGCAGTGCCTTGGAGGGAGGGCTCCAGAGCCATCTCCCTATGGGCAATGTGCCCTTTGGACACCATAAGGTGACCAGGCATGCTGGCCAGTAATCCCCACAGGGCAGAGTTGGGAGGCAGCCTGCCCCCATAGAGGCTGAGGGGGCTTGCCCCTTTTGAGAGCCACAGCTGAAGGAGCCCCAGCAAACTTCCAGCTGATTGGCTCACAGCGGCCCCAGCAAACTTCCAGCTGATTGGCTCACCGTGGCCCCAGCAAACGTCCAGCTGCCAGCTGATTGGCTCCTCTGGGGTTGCCGCAGTCTGGCTGGGCACAAAATCACGAGCCACTCAAGCAGGAACAAACTTTATTTTTGAAACTCCCCCCCCCCACGCTCCCAGGAAGACTGCCGACCGACCCATGCGGCGTTCTCCCGGACCCCCACAGGAAGTCCCTCCTCCGGAATTCCCTCCTACCGCACTTCCCCAACCAATGGGAACTCTCCAGGAGTCCCATAGCAGGCCCAGGTGGACAGCAGGAGTCCAATATCCATATGAATGCAGATCTTAACATAATCATATCATCTCAATGGCTAGCTGGCATCACCTTTCAACCCAAAATGCCATGCATCATATTACTTGGCTGTGGCTCTTAGCATGGGGTGATGCTCATTGGGCTGTTTCCCCGCCCTTTCAGACCATGGAGCTGTTCATTGGGGGACTCTTTTGGCTCCGCCCACACAACCCAGCCAATCAGCCTCAAGAGCAGGAGGAGTGGGGGGTTGAGAGGCTTGTGGGAAGCCGGTAGTGGCAGTTGGGCTCTGAGGGAATTCCTGAAGAGCTTGTGTGGTGCGGCATGTGTGTTCTAAAAATAAAGTTCGTTTCTGCTTGATAAGTGGCTCATGAATTGTGCCCAGCCAGATTGCGGCATGCCCCAGCTGAAGGTCCTGGTTCTACATGAGATGAGTCCATGATTCAGCCCAGAAAACGTCATGCCTCCAATTCACCAGTCATCCCCCACATGCACGCATGCATGCATTCACTCATCCAACCAATTCATTTGCTAAATGGCCACTGCTGACCCACACCTTGCTGAGGGCTAGAGTTGAAGTCATGAGCAAGAGAGACAAGGTCCATGCTTTCATGAAGAGTATAGTGTGATCAGAGATTTGCTAGCATGAGACAGCATCAAAGATATGCTAGGATTGGCAGCAACAGTAGTGGGAAAAATATTTATTGCACCTGCACATAGTCCTGTAAAGGCACTGAGAACCCAAGGTTTCTTCCAAAAAGGTCTGACCCGTCCCTCACAGTGGCCAGAACCCTCAGGGAGTAGGGAGGAAAAGCTGAAAGGAAGCTGGGGTGGGACTAATGAGGACAAGGACAGAAATGTCAAGGAAGTCACCCATGGCCACCACCTGAGGTGAACTCTGATGGTAAGAGCCAACCCTGCAGGAGTCAAGGCAAATTCTCTAACCATCTTTGGGCTTCCTGTGGGGTTAGGATCATTTCTCACAATGATTGCATCTATCTGCCCTTCCAGAAATGGCAACCTCCCTTGCTACCTGTCTGCTGCTCTCAACACCCTTCCAAGAGAGAGGGCAAACTTCTGGATGCCCCCTCTACCTGCTTCAAACACACACTCAGCTCAGGTGCCAGGTCCCATGGTTTCCTGGGAAACGTCCCTTCCCTCCCTTCTTGGTCTGCTAACTCTCCCCAGACCCTCCTGCTCAGAGGATCTTGCCAGGGTGGGGTGCCTCCCATAGGCCTCCACTCCATGTCCTCTCATGGATAGTAAGAGCTGAAATTCATTGAGGTTTTGCTATGTGCCAGGCCCTCTGCTGAGAACTTCTCATGCATTACCTCATTCAACCCTCAGAATGACCCTGCCAGAAGGGCCCTAGAATTATGCCCATTTTGTTGATGAGGAAATTGATTCCATAGGGTAGTTCAATAATGAGCTTGAGGCTGGGATTAGAGTTCAGGGCCAATCCCAGATTCCCTTTCTCTTAAGGGAGCTCTGAAGGCTGTATCTCTCAATGTCATTCCCACAGCCTCCTCTTCAACAAGGGGGGCATGCACCTATGGGGGCCTGCAAGAAAGAACACTTGAGCATAAGATTACTTCAAAGTAGAGGCCAGGTCCTTTCCAGTAAATTCACGGAACTGTTTCTTTTCTCTACCAGTGGCCTCCACTATCCCCCTCATCACTGGCATCCCTGTCTTTGAGGAGTGTGCAGCCTACAGTGGCTATGGTTGTGTTACTGGAGTGCTAGAAGGGGGGCACCTTCTCAGCCTACTTCCAGTTACCCAGCCAGCTGTCCCCAGCCTGCCTTCCAGAGATAGAAGTCACATGAGTAATGGGGAGGCCTTCAAATCTCCTGCTGGAAATGCCACATTTCTGGGGAAATGGCTGACGCCTGATGGATTGCAGGCCAGAGTAGGGTGCAGGTGGTGGGAGGCAGTATGCAGTATCTCAGGGGCAAAGGGAAAGGAAGCCCCTGGCCAAAACCTCCCTTTCCCTTCCTCTGACATAACAGCCCTCAGCCAAAGGTGACCCACGAACACCTCTAGCCTCTTCTCTGGAGAGCCACTGGCTCACTGAGACAAGCTAATGTTCTTCCACTCAGTCCCCACTTGGTACGCTATCCCCGGAGATACCCAGGCAAAGAATATGAGCTCTGCTTCCATCACACGTCCTTCCAGAGGGTCTGGGTGCGCCCACAGTAGATGGCATGGACATAGCTACTGCAAGAGCTGGTGCTGAATGCTCGGCTCTGCTCTGAGAATAAAAGCCAGCTCTTGAATTGAGGGTTCAAAGGGCAAGTTTCTGTCCCTAAGGAGGAGCCCAGAAGCCAGTTAATGACTGGAGAGAAAGGCAGAAGCCCATCCTCCCTGCTCAGCCAAGCTACTGATTAGAGTGGGCAGAGGGTGGGCTGGAGACCTCTTCAAATCAAGGAGCATTGCAGGAACCACTGACTAATGCTCAAGCATTAGTGGGTGTGAATTTCTTAGAAGTGACAAGGAACGTTTTGTTTGGGTTTTGCAAAACATCATTTTCAAATGGGTTTAAATGAGGTCACCCATCCATTCTGCCTGTGCCCATTATCACTGGGTGTGTGGGGGAGGACTCAGTAAACGATGGCAATGCACACATGCTAAGTGATAATAATGGGCACAGGCAGAATGGATGGGTGACCTCATTTAAACCAGTGCAAAGTGGGCAATCTGGATCTGCAGGTCACTGGAGACCATCATTCTCTTGGCCCTCAGCCAGTTGCTAGGACCTCACCCAGTAAAGCTCATGCGCCCTCCCCTCCCCCCAAATGAAGCCTTTGGGGAAAAGCCTTGAGCCTAGGGCAGATGAGGTGGGGAGGAATATCAGGGATAAGTAGCTGAGCCTGGAGACTTGAGGGGCCACAGAACTGTTACCTGAAACTCCTTAGCCTAATTACTGCAAAGATCTAATTATTACTGAGGCTGGATCTTCCTAGGGTTGGCCCCTCAGCCTGGAGTCCTCACTAGCCTCTACCTTCAGCCTGGAACAGTCAACTCCTGCTCATCTCACACTTCCTCTGAGATCTTGCCCCACCTCACTGGATTCCCACAAAATCCAGATTTAACCTTCCCTAGTCCAACCTGCCTCCCTATACTG